CTCTCTCTCTCTCTCTCTCTCTCTCTCTCTCTCTCTCTCTCTCTCTCTCTCTCCAAAAAAAAAATGGAAATAAAAATGATCCTTTAGCCAAAGTTAAAATGTGGTGTGGCCCCACTGGTAGGGTGCAGAGCCCCTGAAGTTGGGGTGCCAGATGAAAAATATGAAGTAAAAATGATTTGAATTATTAATTCATTAAGGGGTTTTTTTTTTTAGGGGGAATTAAAAAAAAACCCACACACACACAAATTTTTTAAAATTAATTTCTGATCAAAGAAAAACTTGAGGGGTGTGGAGTGCAAACTGTTTTCAGCTTCTGAATGCCAAAAAAAAGTCTAAGAACTGCTGCTGTAGTTCAACACCAGGCCTGTTCACAGTGTTTCTAATCTGTGTTCCAGGAGCTCTAAAGAAGATCAGCTGCAGGCCGTTTCTTGAATAAAAGCCACAGTCAAAATCAAAGGATGAGGACTCATCTCCTCTGCTTGGAGTTACTCGCTTTGGCAGTCCACATACTTGTGGCCAGTGGACAGCTGGAGCCAAAGAAACAAGTGCCCCAGGAGCCTCTCACCGTTACCCAGAAACAAGGGCTCGTGGAACGAGATGTGCAGGGTGCGGTGCGGCCCAACAGCACCATGCCCCGCCGCCGCCTGCCACCCATGTGCACCGGACCCACAGAAATCCGAGACACTTTCAAGTACATCAACACAGTGGTGTCCTGCCTGGTTTTCGTTGTCGGTATTATTGGGAATTCCACTCTTCTGAGGATCATCTATAAGAATAAGTGTATGCATAACGGGCCAAATATACTGATCGGCAGCCTGGCACTTGGAGACCTGCTACATATCATCATCGCCATTCCCATTAATGTTTATAAGGTGAGAAAAACTGCAGAATAGCATAGGAACAGTACTTAAGTCATAGGAAAGCATGAGCTGCTTAACATTATTTTTACTTAACTGTAACTTTGTGAGGTCATGCACAAATATTTAGCTACATCCCAGACAAGTACTCAAATATTCCTATTAAACTCGTGAGCACACATACACACACATGCTTGTAAAAGCAGGCTTCCACATAATTTTCAAAATGTTATTACCTTACTGGATTCTGAGCCCCTCCATATCCCCTTATGTCTCTGGTATGTTTTAATCTGTTGGGCTCCTTTTGTGTGAGTGAGTGAGTGAGGGAGAGAGACAGAACCAAGAGCGTCTGTATATTTGGGTAAGGGGGCAAGCATGTTAAAACAACTGGTCACAGCCGCATACCATAGCAATGACAGGACAGACGGGGTGGTACGGAGAGAAACATGTTCACATCTGATTTTAATAGGTTTTCAATCACATTCCAGACACCCATCCAAAGACAGCATGAAAGGTTCCATATCTTTCATGCTTAGCAGAGTTTTCTTCTTCTCTGCGAGTGTTCTCACTAGGTCACAGTGCCTGGAGTTTAAACCGAGGCAAACAGGACTCGTGGTTTTAAGGAAAAGACCAAAATGTTAAACCTGGCAAGAAAAGAACGATAAGTTCAGGTTCACACATGCCTGGCCTGAACTGGATGCCTGAGGCTGAGTAAAAATGGGGGATAGTAAATTTGCTTCCTTTCCTACCATGGTTTAAGTCTGTCATCAACTCTTTCTCTCTCTATACAGCTCCTGGCGGAGGATTGGCCATTCGGGGTGACTCTGTGCAAGTTGGTGCCATTTGTGCAGAAATCCTCAGTGGGGATTACAGTGCTGAGTCTGTGTGCGTTGAGTATTGACAGGTAAGCATGAAGCCATGGCAAATGAACAACAATCTTTGCTTTTTTGTTTTGTTTTTTTAGTGCTGCAACTGCAATTAAAAAGCAGTGCCTTTTTATCCTCACTTTTTCTCTTGTTCCCACTGGCTGCTGTCAACTTTGATGCATTAGTAAACTGACATTTTGTTAATGCCATTATTGAACGGTGAACATAAAAAGGGCTCAAATAAACCAAAACAAAAAAAAAGTGTATGAAAGACACCTTGGTGATAAATCCACAATTTTTCTTTTAAATTGCAAAAACAAAGGAATTAAAACAGTAACTTATGTCACACTGTATCGCAGTCACCATGGAGATGGTTTCTGGACTACTGTTTGGAAGCCTCAGGTTTAGCATTTTTGCCATTACAAGTAAGCAAGTTCATGTGAGCAAGCTGCAAACATATTTGTGTGTCATACAGATACAGACAGTGCTAAGCACAGACCTAATGGGCAGATCACTTAACTACACAGGAAGCCACTGTGTTTCTGTTAAAAATGCCAACACTAAAAATGTGGTTGAAAGACCCAGTTTAGTGGTGGACCTACCTGAGGTAAGGCTAACAGGTAGCAAGTGGCTCTAGCTGCATGAGTCATACACTTCTAATGCAAAACTTTAAGAATAAATACATTTTAAACAGATGAGTTATATATATTTTTTATAATTGCTTTATTGTACAATGTAGTCACCATGTAAATATACCAGTGATAGCCATCTTATGAGCTGCCTCTCAATAAAAATACAACTAAGTACATTTCCCGAGCCATCAAACTCTTCCTTTAACTAACTGACTCCACATGTCACACATCTTCCAGGTATCGTGCCGTGGCCTCATGGAGCCGTATCAAAGGGATCGGAGTTCCAAAATGGATGGCTATCGAGATAGCGCTCATCTGGATAATATCCATCATCCTGGCTGTGCCAGAGGCGATAGCCTTCGACATGATCACCATGAACTACAAAGGAGAACATTTGAGGATCTGCTTGCTGCACCCCGTGCAGAAAACCGAATTCATGAGGGTGAGCTGTAACACACCGACTTTTAAAGGCCTGTGGTTCGCTGTGCAGAAAAATAGTACGTGTTGACATAGCTGTATGTCGTATAACACATACTTATATGGACAGACGCAGAGGTGAATGTGTACATGTGTGTGCATACGCTTATACGTACACTTAAAACCATAAGCACTCGTAATCAGACTGTGACAGCTTCCCCGCTAGATCGGGGTTAGGAAGAGTTCCCAGAAATGAAACACTGTCAAAAAGAAAAAAAGTCATGGATCATAAGAATTAGAACATCCCCCACTTGGGTGACAGAAAACACTACAGCGGTTGATTATGTGTAGCGTAATAGCTAATGGATTAATATAATGTATTTGCCATTACATTCGTCTATCTTCATGTAAAAAGAATAATACATTTATTCCCACTGGGGCCTTATGATAACTTGATTTGTAAAACCATGTCAAGAGCAACTTGAAACACACCCTAGAGTCAACCAGGTCACACCGTGGTTACACACCATTAAAATCCATCTGCTTCTGACATACTTCACCTTTAACTAAAGATTTCCAGCACAGATGTTTGTGCCTAATCCAGTGCAGTCCTGCTATGTTCTCTGTGCAGTTTTATAAATCAGCAAAGGACTGGTGGCTGTTCAGTGTGTATTTCTGCCTGCCGTTGGCCTGCACTGCCATTTTCTACACCCTGATGACCTGTGAGATGCTGAGGAAGAAGAATGGCATGCAGATTGCGCTCAGCGACCACTTAAAGCAGGTAAGATGGTGAAAACTCACTTTATTAGGCCTGTTTGTTGACGACATATTTAGTTGAGTTAAAGTGATATTTTTCCTAATGTAATAGGACGATAAACAGACAATGCTATTAAAGTAATGTTCTGCACTGTTTTCTGCCTAATTTGCAACTCCCATTTCCTACTGAATTCAATTTGATTCCTGATAACAAATGTTTTACATTTTGAGGGGAAAACATGTTTCCAATGATGCCTAATTCCTTTAAGGCTTAAGTTTCACCACAGCTACTTCAGTGCCAAACTGTAATTTATGTGTTTTTGTGTGTGTTCAGCGGAGGGAGGTGGCGAAGACAGTGTTTTGTCTGGTTTTAGTCTTTGCTCTGTGCTGGCTGCCTCTCCACCTCAGCCGTATCCTGAAGCTCACCATCTATGATGAAAAGGATCCAAACCGGTGTGAATTGCTCAGGTATGGAGGGGAAGTCATGATAATTTAGTAGATAAAAAAACTTTCCCCAAAGACAGTGTGAAGTGGAAGACTAATATACCACTGTGACGTGTTTTAGTTTCTTTTTGGTGTTGGACTACATTGGCATCAACATGGCATCTGTCAACTCCTGTATCAACCCCATCGCCCTCTACATGGTCAGCAAGCGCTTCAAGAACTGCTTCAGGGTAAAGTGTGACTCACTCAAAAAAGGCTTTACTTTTTGGTTATTTTGCTAATGTATTTCGTTTATTGGTGGCCGAGCCTCCCATAACACGAACACTACAACAAAGGCGGACACCGAGGCAACAATATACCTGCTGCTCGATCTGTGGCTTTTCGTCAGACTCGTGGGAGTTGCTTTCTGTAACCAATTCTCTCGATGTCGGATATCAAAAATGGCAGTTTTGATTTCTGTGAACGAGACTCTCTCAGAACTGACCAGCCATTCGGTGGCATGCAGTCTGACGATGTCACATTTTAGTACATGGTCAGATTGCTTTGAACTCCATCTGAGCAGGTACCATTTTAGTACCTGATACCAGGTACTATCACTCAATGGAAAACCCTGAAAAAACCTGATCTGAGTAGGTACAAATGGAAAAGGAGCTTAGGATACCAGTGATCACTACATCATAGCCAATCGACCATTAGCTCGAAAGCAATGCACAATGAACTAATCGCTCCCCGTGTGGACACAGGTTTTTGTCTTTACAACACAAAATTAAGCCATCTGTTAGGCTACGTTCACACTGCAGGCGAAAGCGCATCAAATCCAATTTTTTTTGACCCTATATCCATATCCGATCATGGTATGACAGTGTGAACGGCACAAATCCAATATTTTCAAATCCGATCTGGGTCACTTTCGTATGTGGTACTGAACCCGATACATATCCGATGTTTTAGAAAACGACTGCTGTTTGAATGGTCAAGTCGCATTAAATCCGTCTTTTACGTCACTGACACGAGACAGACGCCAATTATCAGCTCCTGAGAAGCACCCGATAAGACATCGCGAACGCTTCCTGGCCATCCAGCGTAGATGTTAGTGAAACTGTTGGGAAGAAAACGTTGGAGAAACGTGAATATTTTATTTATACTGTATAATCTGCAGATTCTGACAGAAATCTGCAACTATCCTTTGAAGCACCGCTCCTCTCTAAAACAGCAATAAGGATAATTATTAGGTTATTTTTACATTATTATGTAAATAACAAAATAACTTGAAGCAAAAATTGGGAAACGTAAAGTCCGAAGTCTTTATATTAAGGGCCATCAGTCAAACAATACTGTTTGGTCTGGGTCTAAACAGCGCGTTGTGTGTGACATCTTCTTTTGCACATGCGGGCCGCTTTGAGCGTTCACACCAGAGCGCGTTTGCTGTCGCATTTTATTTGTAGTGTGAAAAAGCAGACAAAAAATCGGATTTGATCAAAAAATCGGAATTGAGCATTAAGACCTGCAGTGTGAACGTAGCCTTAGTTAAGTGATGACATATCACTCATAGTTATTTTTGGCCTCTTCTTCCTGCCATATGATGCTGTTTGTCTCAGCCCACCAGATATCCTCAGTATGAACTTTTACTGAAAATAGTTTAATCCTCATGCTACATCTTTACAGTAGTATTGTATTTATTTTAGCTTAACCATAGCTCTAAGGCTAGCCACCAGATAGCACACTATTATATATCAACTAACCCAACTTCACAAACCCTCTGAATGATGTTCATGTTTATTTTTCTGCCTTTGTTTACTTCCAATGTTATACAGGTGTGTGTTTTAATTTTTTGTTTTTTCAGAAAAAAATTCATTCAGAAAATGTTATTTCATATTTAAGTGGAAACCTGCACTGCCTAACCTTCCACTAGAAGGATGGCTACACTGATCATTTTATTGGAGATGAAAGAGCATTTAGTGATTTTAACTCTCAGTGATGCCTCCGTGTTTGGTCCCAGAAATTTTTCTTAACTTTTACTAACTTGGACTATTTCTAGACAAGGCTTACATTTCTGTGCCAAGCTAACTAGCTGCTGGCTTTAGCTCTACCATAAAGAAAGTAGTAGGGATACAACAAAAAGAGAATAAGCTTATTTCTTACAGTGATGAAATATTTCTAAGGCTGCAACAAAAAAAGGCTGTAAGAATCAGTCACTATTTTGTCAAAGTGCGAACAGTGTTCACACTCTTCCTCTTTTCTCGCAGCCTAAGCCTCACAGTTTCTTTTCTTCTTTAGTCCTGTCTGTGCTCCTGGTGCGTAACGACAGAGATGTTAATGGACGAAAAGCAGTCGTGCATGAAGCTTAAAGTCAGCGACCGAGGCTCCGAACAGAGCAACTCTCGCATGACCAACAAGTCCTCGACAGCCTGAGGAGAGGCCCAGAAGTGAGAAACAACCAAAAAACATCGAAGTATGCCTGCGTAAATGAGGACAGGGACCCATTTGTTTTTATCTACAGCATAATATGAAATGTCCTTAAACTCTTAAGATCAATTACATACCGCCGGAAATCAGCTCTCACTGCAACTCAATCTAACCTGAAACTTTTAGCACTTATCATGGAGTGCCACACTCATTCTGTCCAAGAATGAAGTGTCAGCACGCCTCCAAAGCTGCACTCTTGGATAGGAAGTATCAAATTTATACAGGCATGAATAACATTAAAAATGGAGAACTGAACAGGAGCAAAGTTCAACTATGTTGTGTAAAGTTGGGGGTTAAGGGTTGATAAGCTAAGACAGCTTCCCAGGCTTGCAGCCTGGATAGTGTATGCATTGTAGTGTATTTGTTACATACTTCAGCATCTTGTAAAACAGCCATTTGGGGATTTTGCATGTTTTTTCTGTAAAAAAAATGAATGTACATGAGCATTTTACATGCTTTTGCATACTTGTTAATGCTTTGAAATTTATTTTCTTTGTGTATTCTCACTAGCAACAAAACTACTGACGCTGTGTGACTTCAGCTGTGATACCGTCAGCTATTGTATCATATTGTTCCATACTTGGCCTGTTCCTGAGGCTTTTTGTCATTATATTAGTGCCTGATTATCTTAATTTGACTCCTTACCTTTAATGTAGGGTTTCTTTTTTCAATAAATATAACACATAAAATCATGACTATATTACAAAAAGAAAACAGTAAATTATTTTTATATTAATTTTTAAAGATTTCTTTTTAGGTCTGTCTGCTGTTGGCTTAAGTGTATGGTGTATTCTGTGTTTGTGGGAGTGTGTGTGTGTGTTAGTGTGTGTGGGAGGGTGTTTGAGCATGTGGCCTCGATTTAAGTGTGACAGCAGGCAGCATCATGTGATGGCGAGTGCCAACACAGAACATTACTGTGATCTCTCTGTTTTTCTCCCCACTTCTTTGCCCCAAACACACACATACAAACACACACACACATTTCTGACCTGGGAATGTTGCTTGAGGCTAAACCAGTGTCACGCATGTCACATTAGCTGTCAAAGAAGCTCTCTGTCCTCTGATCTCTCACCACCCTTCCTTGTTTCATTTCTTTATCCACTCTCCTTGCCATCACTGTCTTTTTTTATGTCTGTTTTTCTCATCTTTTTTACTACTTCTTTGTCCTCTCCCTTACTTTTTACTTCCTTATCTCTGCACATTCCTGTTTCGTCTCTCTGCCATAACCTTTCTGCCTTTGTTCCTCCAGCAAGTCTTCAAACAATCCAGTGTGGTTTGACATCAAATCAAACCCACCACTCCTGTAACTAGCCCTAACTGAACATAATCACATTCAGTACATTCCTCTCTGAATTACTTTTTCATCTGTTTCAAACAGAGGGTAAACTGATTTATCTGGTTTTGGATAATGCTGGCCCTCTTACTGGTGTGATTGATCACCTCCTAGATCAGTGCTACATAAAAAAAATAAATAATTAAATAATCTGCTACACAACTTGGCTAACAGAGCGAATTTTGTTCAGTGAGCTACTTATCCAATATTCTATAATCAAACCACAAAAGTACTGTTTAAAATCAACTCATTTATTGACCCAGGCAAGTTTATTTTGGTAGTTCAAGAAGCTGTAAGAAAAGCTGTAAATGTAGATTTATGTGTCAAATTAGAAGTAGTCTGGTACTGCCCAGTGGTAAAAGAATCCTTTCCACACATTTTTTTTACATTTGTACAAAAAGGGTTCTAAAAGGGTGTAGCTTTACAAAAGCCTATATGAATATCCCCTGGTGAGCTATAGCTTAATGTAATGTATTGCTTTTCTTTTTTAGCTGGTTGGCTTTTTACAAATTCTTCCAGCTTCTGGGGGTGGATGGGGGAATGAAGCTACTAAGTGCCGTAAATATAGTTCCAATACTCCTTACCTTGTACCATAATGTCGTGTTTGTGTGTGTGTGTGTGTGTGTGTGTGTGTGTGTGTGTGTATACATGTATATTACAGATGGGTAAATTTTTTAACTGGAGCCCTAAGTTATATGTAATCTAAGACCTGGCTATTTTAAAGGACTAACAGGTATAACATTTTATAAGTTTTCCAAAATAACACACACTAAGGAGTTGGCCATTTAGGTTTTTAACTTTCTCCAGTAATTTACCCAGAAACTTTTTGATTTAAGCCTGTTGTGCTCTAACCAAAATTAGCATTTTATTTAAAATACCTCGCTAACCAAGCTGCTAGCCAGCAATAGAATTAGTTGATAATTTCCCACCATTTGCTCATCCAAATAAACATCAAGGAGGGGACAGTCAAAATAACAAACCTGACATACTCTACAACCAATCCAGTCTTTAAGTGATGACGTATGAACTCTGCTTCCAGGTCCAAACTACTCTACCTTTATTAAGGTGTTGTGTTTTTAACATGTTGTATTGTATCTTGTTCTATTTAATCTGAACACGCTCCTAAAAAAAGGCAGTGATCACTGTCAGCTCTTTCAGTTTTTATTATCACTATTCATTTTAAAGCTCAGTTTTAAAACCTTACGATGTAATTACAGTCCAGCCCATGCAGCAGTAAATTAATGACTAACCTTGTATTGTGGATGGTTTATCTCAGTTCTTATCCTGACTGAAGTTTGATCTGTTTACAGCATCCTAAAATGCAATTACATTTGTCCCTAACCCTCATGTTAACTTTTATCGAGTGGAAAAAAGCGTTCATCCTCCAGCTTCACTGTGCTAATGTGTTTTATTATGCTAACCATAGCTGTGTAGCTAGCCACCACATAGCACATCATCATAGCCCAACATCAGTAACCCCACAAATGTCACTGCTATTTAGTTTCCTGTCTTTATTTATGTTGGAAGTGATAGCAGAGCTGTACGTTTTAAATCCCTCAGTCAGAACATGGTATATCATGTTTAGGTAGAAACTAGCGAGCTAACATCTTGCTAACTAAATTTCATAAATTCTGTTTTCATGGATGCCTGAAAACTTAATTGTTACACCTGGTAGAGCAGCAACGCTGATCATTTTATTAATGATAAAATAATTTAGACAGTTTGTAGCTCTCAGTGATGCCACAGTGTTCGTTTGACTTTGGGACCTGAAGCGAAGTTTGGACCCGGAAACGGCTAATGACCTCAGACTTAAAGATGACATCATTAGCCGTAGATAGATGATGTCACAGGGACTACATCATAAACAGTGGCTTTAAGGTGTATCAGGATTTATCATGTTCTTCACTCTAAATGTGTGCATAATTTGCAATAAGAATTGCTACTGTACATTGTAAGATAAAGCCCTTACAAATTAAAACAAGCTATTGAGTCCATCACCCAATAGCTTGAGGAAAATGTGTTTACTGTTCTAAAGTAAGAATTGGGGTCATTTTCTTTATACACTGAGTTACGTCAACTGGCTATGAGAAAGACTGCTTTAAAATAGTGGTTTCACTTTTCAGATCCAGAGGTTTTATAATATTCAGGTTGATCAGACAACATAAATGTGGTTGTGGTTGTTTGTAAGACAGATTGTTTTTAACCATTAGATAAAGCCAAGGTGGTTGTTCCTTCGTGCAGATTCTTAAACATCTTTATTTCCAAGAAAGACAGCTTCATGAAATACGTTCACACATATACAGAGTAAATGTGGACACCAAATAATCATAATCAAACCTACACATACCAGTGCAGTTTGTCCTTTTCTCTCCACAGTGTGTTGGATTGCAGACTTTATTGTTTCGAGTCTGGCTCTCAAGGGCTGGGGTGTGAATAAATCTGATCTGGTCCGTCTCTGTTGTTTTTTTCCCCTCCAAACATTCTTTTGCATTTTTCTACCCAATTCCATTCGCCGTTGTGCATATTTACACAGCATGTTCAGCAAGACTGTGCCAGCGAACTGCATTCAGAAACAATTAGGAGCATTTATATGATCATGATGTTTTGACTTCACTTTCAAATGTTTGAGAAGAGAAGTTTTTTGGCAAATTCTGGCCTGAGAGTATGGCAAACATCACTGCTTGGCACTTTTCAAGCATTTGAACCCATATAGGCATTTTCATCCAGAGCTGTCATACACGGCTTCTGACAGATGTCTAATAATCTAAAAGTGTATTCACACTTCTTGATGTATATGTCTTGCTGGCCTCCTTAGTCATCTAATATTTATTCAGGATTTATAGCACAGGGAGGAGAGCTTTCAGTCTGGTACAGATTCTGCAAACATTTGGGCAGAACAAAGAAAATATGCTTTTGTTGTAAGTGTGAAAACGTGTGTGCAGTTGGAGCCATGGAAGTACTTCAAGGGAAAAATGTTAAACCAAGTGCAAACTGAGACCCCCGTGCTGGCTGCGAGAACACAAAACGAAGATATGTGAGTAAGCACGTGCATAAAAACAAAACAAAAATGCTTTCTGCACTTTTTTTTACATTTGATATCTCTTTTGGTCGCACACCACTGACTTTGCACTTCAAGGAATGGCTGATAAATGACACAAAAACGCAACTCATCAGTCACTTTCACATGTCACACACTTGAGCACATGCATAGACAACACAAGCACGCCGAGCAACAGAAGACGCGGCAGAAGGTGAGCAGACGTGGCCAGCAGAAGGAATTCATCAGACTGACGTTCCATGGACTCTGGAGCTTTTCTTTCCTTCTATTTCCTCCTCAGTTCTACATCAGGGGACATTCAAGCGTTGTGTCACAGTCTCTCACTGTTAGCACACTTCCCCCCCTCTATTTTTTTTTTTTGCTTGTCTGACAACGTGATGACAAATCCATGGGGCTAGAGTACATGATAAAGAACGATTCATCAGTCACAGATACGCATATGGCGAGCAGGTTGGATTCCAAATGCTGGAAAAGTGAAAGTTGTCAGTGCACAGCTCACATCAGATAAATCTGCAAATATAGTATACTGGGGTCACTGGGCTACAATTTATAAACCATAATTGAGTCTATACAGTGTGGTTAGCACTGTCACCTCACGGCAAAACGCCCCTGGGTTCAGATCTGCTGGGTTGTTTCCGTTTCAAGTTTGTAAGGTCACCGTACATTTCTCTCCGAGTACTCCGGCGCCCTCTCAAAACCAATCATGTTAGTTTAATTGTTTTTTCTAAATGGACAATAGGTGTGAATGACTGTCTCCATTTGTTATTTAATGTTGATATGATCCACAAGAGGATCAAATAACCTTCCTTTTAAATAAAAGGAATATACGGCCTCTTATCCAGCCCTCTTAAAATGTCCATTAAACTCAAAATGAACTATTGGCAGTCTAGCTGGACTGTGGGTAATATATACACTGCATTTTAAGAGCAATGCTTGAAATAAAACAGAGGATATCCATGTTTAGGCTGCATTCCTGCACACATGCTCATGTGTCCATGGTTTTCTTGCTAATTTTTCCTTAAGTTAAAAATGTCAAAATGTTCTTTTTTTAATCAGTCGGTGTCGTGCTCGTTTAAAATCCTAAAAATCTAATGTGCATCACCCCTAAAAACAAACAAAAAAATGAAGCAAAAACAATGGAAACATTTCTTGAACCCAATATTTGAGATTCAGTGCATTAACTGTCAGTGACAATAACAATGACCCCTCCTCTCCCCGGTCTTTCACACAGATAAACACAAACCCATATTGTAATAATCAAATCGTGTGCTCTACTACTTTACAAAAACATTATGGGAGTGAACCTCGTTTTTCAGCCAAACCAGCACATTCCTCATGAAGCTGCCCGCCGTTGCAGAAGTTGGGAAACTGAGTGAAGAAATAATGGAATGAAAGAGAGGCCTGATTTATTCCATCTTATCAGTCCAACCAAACCCAGCCCTGTGAAAGGTATAAAATGTCCTGACATGTGAAAAAAAATAATTAATTTAAAGAAGGCAGCTGTACTGTGTAAAATGGGGTGGGGTGGGGGGGGTCATTCTCCAATCTTGAAAGCAGTGGCACAGGCAGTGGGACTGGGTGCAGAAGGCCGCCATCCTCAAGAGAAAACACACTGCCAGCAATGGTGAGCCTCACTCACAGATTTATAGGCTGCAAGCTGTCTCTGTTGCCGTTGTTGTGTATTAACAAAAAGAAAGGGCGGGAAGGAAATGAAAATGTGGATCAGATTGGTTTTTTATTTTGAAGGCTGCTGATGCTGAGTTTAACCACTGGGGAGCGTCTGGGACTGGATAAAGTCAGAGTAGCTATAACAACCCCCTTGTTTAAACTCTATTATTCAGACTGCTTTTCACTGGGATGTTATTATTAACTGCACAAAGCAACAGGTAATAATAATCTGAGGTCAAATTTAGTGATATCATCAGCACACACATATGCCCTCTGCGTCCACACAGCTGTTGCAGATTGGTTGCTTGGCTCTCTGCTGCTTTACATTGCAAATACACCCGTGTTTACATTTGCTCTGCACTGACAATGGTCACTATGGGTTACCTTGACTCACAACACAGGTAACCAATGAGATCTCCCAGCATGGGAGGGGAGGGAGGGGGTGCGTGTGTTTGGGGGTGGGGGGGGGGAGGGTGCTCAGTTCTCTGGAAAAAAGAAAAGAGGAAGCGTGAACTGACAACGACTAGAAAAAGAAGAAGAAAAAAAATCACCATGATCTACGCTGATCTGTGATCTCACGTCTGCGTGACGCACTCTCTCTGGTGGCTAGACACTGACAGGAGGGAACTGATCCCACGCCTGTAAGCAGATGAAGGTTCTGTGTTTGCCAAAAGTAATGAGAACAATTTCCGTTTCCCTCTTGGATCTTGCAGGCAGCTGCTGCTCTGTCACATACAGGCACGAGCTGTAAACACAAAGGTAAGCAGACTGCTTCTTATTCCATACAACAGGCCTACTACTCTGTATAGTATAGAAAGGAGACACAGAAAAAAGACCAAAAGAAAAAAAGAACTAAATATAACAAAAGAAAATGTTAGAAGACGTTTGGGTGTATGACTGTATGCTGCATGACATGTGCTGAAGAGAAAGTGAAAGTACTTTTCAGAGAGTGTAGGGTTTTGAGCGCCGCTGTTTGACTCTCTATAAATGCTGTGCCAGAAAATGTAGATTGAAAGAAAGAAAGAAAGAAAGAAAGAAAGAAAGAAAGAAAGAAAGAAAGAAAGAAAGAAAGAACTTTCCAATGATTTACTTTCAGTGACGGCTAAACCGCTCACGTTTGCACGCGAGGGAGGTTGTAAAAACAGTATTGCGACCACCTCTGCTGTTCTCTGGCAGACCATATTTTACTGCGTTCATTTAACAAGGCCTGGTTACCCCAAGCAACAAGAGGGGCTTATCAGCTGCTGCCTCTCTTACCATGCTGTTATCAGCCTGGCCTAGTTCACGCACACACATATATATAACACTGCTCCTTTCTGTCAAACACACCCGCACGCTTTCTATCTCAGTCTCTGACTCTCTCTCATGCGCACACACACGTAAACTGGGGAATGAATGTTATGGGGGGCTTATCAGTGTCCTTAGGGGCCTGGCAGCCACTTCACAGACTCAGATCCCAGTGCAGAGGCCACAGAGACAAACCTATGTGACCAGAGTGCTGATGAACACCACATACTGTGAGAGACTGCAGGCTGCAGGGCACGGTAACAATGAACGTATACATGTGGCAGCACAAAGGCAAGGCCCTGGTGGCTACTACTAAAAAAAAAAATAAAGAGAGGAAGGGACAAATGTTTCTATTAATGTGTTCTGTTGGGGTGTGACGAGTGAAACTTCACCGCCTTGTTTACTTCAATAGAACAGAAAATGCAAGCTGCAGTCTTCATGTTTTGTACTTTGCACTTGTATTCACTGGAACTACGCAAGCATGGCAACTTGCCATGCTGTATAACCAGAGCAGACTTGCAGGTTAGGACGTACAAAAAAGCCATTAGTTATGTTCATTATGCAGTTTAGCTTGGCTACAAAAGGCAAAAAAAAAAAAATGTAAAAAAAACTAATCATAGTAATAATAATTTGAAAATAAAACCATCTTGAAATATGTTAGAGAATGACTAATTCAACTCGCCATTAACTACATTGCATACTAAAATGTCCATTATCAAAAAAACATTAACTTACATCAACTATATTACTAATATATGTCATAATAGGACATTAAACTCTATTTATTCTGCTTAAAATGATATTAAACACAATGGAAATGTTATTTATAAATGGCATTATTTTAGACTGTTACTCTGTTATTCTGCTAATTTACAGTATAAAATTATAGCACCGAGTGCTACAAATGTCTGTTCAAAGTAATTGTTAATTTAGTCATCTTACAAGTCAACAGCACATGCTATGCAACCATTAGATGGCTTAGTGATCAAAGACACAGCAAGCTTCTAAGATAATATTGAAATGAGGCTTAATGCTATTGCAATTGTGTTTGCATAAAAAACTATCTGATAACAAAATTTGTATTGGTAACTTTGCCAAGACGTAACACTATAATAAAACAGGATACCGCAGTCAAATCCAGACCTCAAAGTATCATATTATTGCTGTTCTCACACTGCAGGCTTACTTGTGGTTCCTACAGGTTTGATGTAATGAGCATTTCTTCTTCACTCACCTCTTTCCTCACCCTGAGATGAGTGCATTTAATCTAAAATTAATGCATTCAAATAATTAAAATATTATTAAACTCTGGCACTTTCCACCATAGTCTGTCTCTTGCGCTCTCTTTTCTCTTTCCCCTCATCCAGTTGCTCCAGATGGCTGCCCTTCATTGCCGGAGGTTTCTTCCTGTCAAAAGGGAGTTTTTTGTTTCCAGTGTTGCCAAGTGCTTGCTACTAGGGGGTTGTATGATTGCTGGGATTTCTTTCTAATGCTGTAGGGTCCTTAAATTACAGGACAGAGTGCCTTGAGGTGACTGTTGTTGTAATTTGCTCCTATATGAATAAACTTGGATTGAATTGAACTGAAATGAACTCAGGCACAGTCATTAAAAAGCCACAACATACCATGTATGATTTACTGTAGGAAAAACACAGTACTAAAAATGTTTTACAATTCACAGAGTGATACTGGTGATATTAATTTTTTGTTACTAAACTGCTGGTTCCAGCCCTAACATCAAGTGATGCATATTACATATGAACAAAAAAGGACTACTTTGCCTTGCTGACTTCTTCTTGAACTTCTCTTGGTTTTGGGAGTAAACTATCCCCCAGTTCGCTAATGTCCCACCTAAATCATTGAGTGCCAAGTGGCTGCAAACATCACAGGAAATCGAAAATGAGAGGACCACTGCTGGCAAAGACATGCTGGCAGTGGTTTGGCGCAGGAACTCAGGAAGCGGTGCCTCCTAACTGAGCTGTGCTTCCTGCGTGATAACTGACCCAAACATATTTTGCCTCTATCTCTCACACGCATACACCAAGACAAAGAAAACCCACACGTTCTCCATCTATTTAAAAAGGAAAAAGAAAAAAAAAAGGACCTGCGATGCTATTTAGGTTACAGAGGATTTACAGGGTTAGAATGTTTAGAATGGATTATCTTTGAAGCCATTTGGTCACAGTGCCACAAAACCTAAATGTTGGGATGATCTTCAGAACAATGATGCTGAAGGTAAGTGACGGAGTGGCAACAGTGTTCGGAGCCCACGGTAGAATTTTGCAGGAGGAGGCAGCTGTACTGCTAAATTCGCTTAAAGGTTAACCGAAACTTGGGAATTATTAAACAGCGAGTACTGAAGAGAAGGGGTGGCATTAGAAGCAAAGGGAAGACAAAGGAATTCAAAGGAATTAACAATGTTGTGATGGTCAGATACAAGAGGAGTGACAGAAAAACAAGCAACCGGGAGAGAATGAGAGGGAGTAATGCAAAGGAGTTGAGTGGGGGTTGCAATTTTGTGCTAAACGTCCCCTTCACGGTCATGTCGTGAGGAATGTGCACAAAATGGCCCTGAAAGCCAAAAGCTGAACATTGTGCAAAGACATGATGTTGTCACCCACCCAACCAACCCCCTCGACTCACACCGCACACACAGCCCAGACACACATTTCACTGCAAACGCTTCCTTCCTGTTGCTGGTTTAGCCCAGTTTAGAAGACAGATAAGAGCAAAAGAATGAGACGTGTGACAGAGGGGGGAAGCAAATTACGATGTTCATTTCTCTGCATCTGAGACCAGAGACATTTCAAACACATAAACAAATAAATGTTCAGCAATGCCCAAAAAAGTAAAATTGTTCACAGCCTAATTTTAGCGTCTGCAGGTGTGGTCATGGCGTTTGTTTTTGACTCTAACAGCTCTTCAACTCCCCCACCTCACCCACATATTTTTGTGTGTGCCTCTCTGTTCTTCTCTGGCAGGTTCAGTCAGACCACAGGACAGTTTAGCACTTCCTCATTGAGAGCCGGTGCAGAGTGAGCGGGTGAGCGCTTCCTGTGACGCCTCTGCATCTCTGGTCAATAATTACACTCACATCACTCTACCACTACCAAGCCTCGCTGCATGGAAGGACGCAGGCTGCATCCCATCCAGGGTGAAGTTCTCTGACAAGTTATCTGCGTGTTCATCGGAAGGATTGTCTCCAGAAACGGGACCTGCCTTGATTCGACAACACATCAGACCTCTTCACTTCTTACCAGACTTCAAGGGGACGCTGTGATGCTATCCTCGCCCAGTTAAGAGTTTGTACGTGTGCTTTGGGACATTCAGCCATGCTGCAACAGTCAGAGCTCATCTTTGACTTTGCCAGTGACCACTTTAACATGTCACAGGTGAGTCAGAGCTAGACAGTGATGAACTTCTTTGTGTGGAATTGCTGGCAAACTTCTGATGTCGTCTAATTTCATGCCGTTTTTGTGTCCTGCAGCTGGGGGGTTTCACAGATTGCCCTGCGGTGATTGTAGAGCAGGTTCCACATTCACACCTGTTTTCATATACAGGTCTAGCGTGTGAACAGTCACAGGATCACCAGCAGCTGGTCAAAGGTCAGCACACACACACACACACGAAGACATACGCACTCACTTAAGCCTTTCTTTACCTGTCAGGCTCACATTTCATGATAGAAGATCCCCTGTCGTCTGCGACACGGTGCAATTCTTTTTTTTTTCTTTACAAAAAGAAAACGAAAGTTTCTATTCAAATTTTATTTAAAAAAATTAAAAGTAATTCGCGGTTTTGAAACAAAAAAAACAGCCTTGCTTTGCACATGCGTATTCTGCCCCTCGCGCACATGGACCACCCTCCGCTGAAATTCAGGAAGTAAAAAAAGAAAACATTCCTGGCTTGTTCCTGGGGGGGAAACAACAGTTAAATGAATCATATTAGGATGTAGACGTGGTCAAAGCGAGCTACAGCACACATGCTATAGCTTGTTCCTCACACGAACATTTGAAAAGTAAGTGATATCGCCGTGTCGGGTTATATTTCCGTCAGTGTTCAGGTTGGAGGGAGCAGCTGAATCGACGCATGGCGAGGAGGAGGCTCGGTTAACTTTAGCTCACAGTAACAGCAGCACTTGTGGATAATTTACAGACACTTTACTTGAACGTTACAACCGTTTTGGGACAGCAGCCCATCTCGTATGTTTCTCTAAACGTGGCGGTTTGTTGTGACAGGCTGTGGGTTTGCTTCTCCCGACGGCAGAAAGTGTTTTCGAGTCCACGACAAAACAGCTGTTAGCTAGCAGATGTTTTCTAGCTCACTGCTTCTTCACGGGCAGCTCATCACACACACAAACAAGATGCGCATTAAAAAAAACACACACACGCAGATTCCCTTTTGATCATGTTTAGCCTCGAGGACATGCACGTGGGGAGATGTAAGCTGTTAGACAGCACAGCGTCGTTGTGAAGCTAACAAGCACCCGAATATGAGTCTGTCAGTGTTATTTACCTGGACGGAAAGCACTTGAGGTCAAACTGCTTGGAGTCGGTGACCGAGACTCTGTGTCATTGAGTTTACTCAAGAGCTGCACTTCACTAAGCTCTTTGTTGTCTGTAAGAATTCCAGCTTACTCTGTGCTCTTCCATCCGGCTGTGTTTTGGAGGCAAATATTCTTTGGACTTCTATTCTAGTTTTGTTTTTTTAATTAATTATAGAATTTGCTTCATTTGCTACTGATGTGAACATTAATGAAAGTGAACTAATGCTGGAAGAGCTTGTAGCATCTGCATAATAATTAAATGTATTTGTGTTTTTCTTCTTTTTTTCATTCCCAAAAGAAGGGAAGTGTAAAACAGAGTGCAATTATTTGCTGTCACGTAAGCCTTTTTTTATTTAACTGAAATCAGCATAGCAAAAACAAGCCAGATGTTTGTTTTTATCCAGCCATCACACATAAGCAGCACATATAAACTATAAACTTTGTGTACTAAGTCATGACTTGGCTTGAGCATAAGCAGTACTTATATGTACCCATGCTGCATTCTGCTCATTAAATATATTTTACCCTGCAAAAGGAAGCAAATGAATAAATACATATAAACATCATCAAAATTATTCACATCAGTACAGCTCAAAAAATAGCTTATATTTGGATAACCAAATGCGAATTACGCAGTTCGAAATGTTGTCTTTCATAATTTACCCTCAAAATTAGATATACGTCTATTATATATAGTATATATAAGCATCACTCGTGCATTAAAAATCTCTGTAAACATTCTGCGAGAATTCACTCTTATTATTATTGTCATTTTTTTAAATTTGTTTGGAAAATGAAATTTGATAAAGAATTTCAGCAGTTTGATGCCTGTGTTGTATTTTAAAATGTATTCAGATGTTTTAATGGATGGTGGGTCTGGACTGCAGACGGGCCTGTTTAACAGCCACCCTCTTTTACTAGTGATCCACGCTGTTGTAACATGTGAAGAACATTGTCTGGATTGTCTCGGTGAAACAAAAATTGTTAGTCATCATGTTGTCCTTCAAAACCTGTTTATCTGACTCAGCGTTAGTGATGCCCTTGCAGATGTGCTGGTTTTTGTTGTCATGTCACAGAGGTGACTGTAGCTCAGAAGGTAGTTTTCCACTAATTGGAAGGTTGACAGTTTGATTCCTGGCTGCTCCAGTCTGGTTGCCAAAGTACCCTTGTGCAAGATACTGAACCTGAAGTTGTTGTCTGTCCAGCTAAGTATGAATGCGTGTGAATGTTAGACAGAATGCACTTTGCCATAGAAAAAAATACTTGTGTGAATGAGACATGTATGTATAAAGTGCTCTACTAGAGTAAAAAAGCCCTATGTAGGAGTAAGCTCGACCCAGAGAGCGGAAGCCTTTCTAAAATTTGCTATATGAGGGTTTTTATATATAAATATATATATATATATGCATGGTGGTTTTAACCTTTGTGGCTAGAAAGCACTTGAGTTTACTGACAACAGTTTCAAGTGTCCAAAAGCACATGTTTCGACTTCTACCACAGAACTGTCCAGTCTGTTTTTAATGCCGTGATGTTCATATTCATTTATGCCAAATTTCTAAACGTTATAATTGTTGCTAAACTTTGCCTGTTTAGTTTCTCCCAACAATAAGAAAAAAAAACCCTAATAGTTTGTAAATAGAAACTACATCTGCAGTTACTAAGGAGAACCTGGAAACGCTGTTTAGTAGCTCACTGTTATATAGTTGTAACTATTTGCATTGGACACACTCCAATTTTACATCAACAAAAACAAGTTTTACTCTTTGATAATTCTTTGTGGTTGTTATTTTTTGTAGTGGAGCCATGTGAAAGTGGGGAGGAAGAGACCATGGAGACGCTTGTTTCTCCTGACTCGTTACTCAACATGGAGTGCGCTGACACCCTCTCCCTGGAACACTACTGTAAGCACGGCTGTGTTCACCTCGAGCATGTTGTTTCCTGATTATTTGGGTGCAAGATTTTATTTTTAGGCATTACAGTGCTGCTGTTTTTTTTTAGCAAATCTGTTTCTGAACCCCTGCAGCGCAGACCTTCTTACCATCGCTTGGCGATGTCATCACTACTCCTGTTGTGGGGGAGGAGCTTGTGGGAACTGTCAATCAGTCAGAGTGGTCGTCGTTGCACAGAAACAAGCCTGCATCGCAGCTGCGGTCCAAAAAGAAAAGTCAGTAACTTTCCTGCTCAGCTTCTTGTACGGGTAGAATTTCGAGGGTAAAATGTTTGTGACTGACTTTGGACTGCCTGTGTGTGCAGGCAGGAAACCGCGACATCGAAGAGCAGAGTCTCCCACGCCAGAAATTACAGTAAAGAAGGACAAATACAACAAAGGTATTGTCAAACAGAGCAAGACCTTGTTCCCTATAAAGCCACAGCACAAGTCACCTGACTGCACCTGAAATGATATAAATGTGTGTGCACCTCACCCCTACCAAGTTCTGCAAGTAAAATTATGCAACTGTGCTTGTTTTGGGGAAGCGTGCTATGAAAGTAGGTCTTCACCAAAGTGATTTAACCCAAATCTCATCTGTTGTTTTTCTTTTTCGTTCATGCGCTTTAGGTGGAAACACCCTTTACCTGTGGCAGTTCCTGATGGAGTTGCTGCAAGATAGACAAGTCTGCCCTCGTTACATCAAATGGACTAATCCTCAAGCGGGGATCTTCAAGCTGGTCAACTCAAAAGCAGTGGCCAGGCTGTGGGGCAAACACAAAAACAAACCAGATATGAATTATGAGACAATGGGCAGAGCACTCAGGTACAACACGGCAGCTTCCAGATAGAATTGTAATGTTCTTTGAAATTTCTCTCTCTGTAATTTGAAAAAATAAATAAATAATAATAATAATAATAATGAACAATCATAGATGTCAAAAGTGCCTTTTAAGGTCATTTATGCTAATTTTCCTACATTTTAACTCGGGGGGTTTTATTAAGCACAACTTGAAAGCAAAGACATAAACAGCCATTAAAACGTTTCCTAGCTTTGGCTTTGTACAAGTAATGGCACATTTAAGAGTGTGAAGTAATCATTCAGTTTACAATGTTTAACAAATTTATTAGAATACCACTAAATTAGCAGTATTGTTAATTA